GGGAAAGGGCGGTGAGAAAATTATTCTCAGGGACAACATCGCCACCGCGCCGTCTCAAACCGTGAAGTCTCCCTAGAGAAAACCTAAAAAAATCATCAATGCTGGTGCACGATAGGTCCGGGTATGGCGTCGAGTTCGCTGCCGTCAAGGGCACATGCAACGATGCCCTGTTCTCCGGTGACCTAGCCAGGCCGGGCCGTCGTTGAAGATCACCGTTGGCGGCTTCACCAATACCGTCGTTGAGCACGCCTTACGTAGATCACTCGAACACACATCTCCTTCGTCATCTCCCTCCGAGCATCCACATCGGCCCACGCCTGAACATGAACTCCCAGCCGTAGCCGCCATGTGGGCTTTGCCAGGCAGCAGCGAGAGGGAGAGAAGATGGGAAATGGATAGGGTGGCATCAACTCTATAACTGGGCTCTTCTCCGTCTATGTGAACTACTTCTAATGTGTTTTGTGCGAATATGACTATACATAAATAAGATTCTTTCTTGGAATAGCTCATAAATGAAGAGTCTTGTATGGACAAGAGAGACGAGCATTGAATCATGATCATACATGAAGACCGAGGCAAGCACAGAATAATAAATACTAAATTGTACTCCCTTTGTTTTTATTTACTATGCATATTAGGTTTGACTGAAGACAAACTTCGTAAAGTTTGATTTGTTATTGTACGTGTTAATATTTTTGTTTATAAACTTTATGAAAATTTACAAAGCTCGACCATAACCAAAACTAATACACGTCCTAAATAAAAACGAAGGCCTAGTTTGGTAGCACTGTCTTTTTAAAACTGTGGTATTCCAAAACCTCAGTTTTCCAACGCGGGGGCAATGAATACCTTGGTTTGTCCAAAGCATTGTTTTCATCTGTTTCTTCAAAACCACAGATCCGTTTGGCAAGTTCTGTTTTACCTGTTTTTTGACTGACCGCAACTAACTCAGCAACACCCAAGGAGCTAATCTTTTTTTTTTTTGCAATCACCCAAGGAGCTAATCAGCGTGTAAAAAGTAAACACGGCCATGCAATGCATGCAGCCATCACATGCAAGCCAAGTCGAAGGGAGTAGTAAAGCAGAGACGATACGTTCGTGCGACCGCGGTGCAATTATTTGCCTTTCCTATCGATAACGTATTATAAGAAGGTATTCGGAAAATAGGGGATTTTTTTTTAGCATCAGTACAGACACAAACGCTCATATACACGCTATACACCCACCTCTATGAACGCACACACGCACGCCATATCCCTATGAGCACCTCCGAAAGTCTGAGCCGGCATATCATCTTGAGATTTACGAAGTCACCGTAGGCGCCTCGTCGTTGACGAAAACGTCTACTTCCGCTGAAAGCGCATCGCCGGAAATCCTGAAATAAATCCAGGAATAATGCGAGCACCAGGATTTAAACCCTGATGGGTTGGGGATACCACTGTCCACCTAACCAACTCAACCACAGGTTGATTCGCAAAAGGGGATTTTTTTTGTAAGAAAGGGAGACGAGCCCACATGTGGCATGACATCCTATGATATGATCTCAGGACCTTTATGTACCGTCCACGGACGAGATCATTCCATCTTTCTGAAGTCTCAACACGTACGGCCTAGGTGGACTTCGCGCGATGCTACTCGATGCTTAACGTGGCCTCAACGCTAAAGAAGTTACTCGTTCCTCTAGACTTGGTAACGATGTGTTAACCCTTGGACGTCTCGCGCACACACACGGCCTGCACCTGTCGCCGATATAGCGCCATGTAGCGCCGACGCCGCGGCGCGACGTGCGCGTCCCAACCGGCCACTAGTCGTCACATCCGTCCGTGCGTGCCGTCGGCCAGTGTCCGTCCGTTCCCGCCCGCGTCTCCGTCGCGGCAGGAGAAGGAATCCGTGCCTGCCGTGCCGCCGGTCCCGACCTAGTGGCTAGGTGATACATCCACCCATCCAGGAGATGGAGGAGAGTGGAGGGCCCCGTCCCGTGACCATGGCGCGACCGCGACGTGCCGCGCGCACACGTACGTCTGCTCGGCGTGGGCTCTCTTTGTCTGCGTTGCATTCATCCCGGAGCTTTTTTTTTTGATCGGCATCCCGGAGCTTTTGGGGCCTGGTGGCGTGTCGACCGATGGCCACGCGTGGGGAAACGGCCGTTCCGTTGGCTTTTTGGTTCCTTCCGGCCGGGGCCCTCCCTCGTCCGGTGCGCGCGCGTCGTTGGTTGGTTCGGCTACTAGGTGAAACTGAATATATATGTTGCACGCCAATGGTTGAGCACCAATTTGCACCCGCGGATGAGGTGCAAAATTGTTGCATTGACGCGTCATATCAACTTTTCTTTTTTTCTTTTTAGACAATGACACAAATTAACTAGTGCACGGTGGGAGCAGCCGAGCGGCAGCGGCAGAGCACCAATTTGCACCCATGACCGACCATCCCCAGACTTGCATGTTTTTTGAATATTATTTTGCGCATTCAATCCTTTCTTTCAAAGGCAATAGAGTACATTGTTGTGTGCGTGTGTGTCACTGTCCAACTGATTGAGGAATGCCAGATGGAGCTCAAGATACGCAAGTAGAAGGTACGTAGACGCTAGCACACAACCAATTTAACCACATTTAAACACCCATCGGCCCTAGTGAAAATTAAGTAATCTTCCACGTGTGGTTTCGTCAAGCCGGGAGAAAGGGCCGAATGTATGTGACGGCGAGCGGCGCCTCTGATGGAGTCTTTTTGCAAGGTTCTCCATTTTCATCACGGATGGAAAAATGAGAGGGACTCCAGGGTCATCGACGTGATTGATCGGAATCCCAAACCGAGTAAAACAAAGTGCCGCCATCGTAGTTCGTTTGTAGTCAGTGTCCTGGTAGGCATCACAGTTCTTTGCATGAACCTTAGTTTCCTTTTCTTCTCCATGCACTCCTTTAATCATGAAATGAGTGCCCTATTTATTTTTAGTACGGTCTCGAACACGACGTCTAATTACAGATCATGTTTAATAGATGTGTAACATTAACCTTTTTCGAGATAAATGTAAACTGGTTACGCGTGGCCATGCAGAGTCAAAATATAAACATTTCGAGGCAGCTGTCAACCTGTGAGCTTGTACTTTTTGAATCGTTTCTTTCAGTACTATATATTGATGGGGCCGCACCGCTGTCATCCACCACACAAATGGGCAATGGATAGCAACATGCATGTAGCAATTTACGTCAAAATATTGCAAAACACAACCCCCTCAGCTTGTGCATCTGAGGTGCCGGTGAATCCGCGGATCCGCCTCCACTCCGCCTGCCACTCCAGCAGCCGGTGCCAGGAAGGGGAGTCCTTGTGCCTCGACTCTGGCTAGTAGATATGTAGGGTTTTAGTCATCGCAGGACCGACACTCGAACAGATGGCAACATTCTTCTCCAAGTAAGTCTTCCGGGCTCCAAATCTTCTCAAGTATGGCTTCGCCCCGCCGAACATCATGTGCGCCTGTTCTTTGTGCCGCTGCGGGTCGACGGCGTCAAGCTCCACGGATTTGGAGAGGCTACAACCTAACCATCGTGTGCCTCACATTGAGTCGGGGAAACGCAAGGAGGTCGCCATGCACGGCGGCAGTGCTCTGTAATCTGAACACCACAGATGAGTTTGGCAACGCTGGAGGGCACGTAGATTGCGGCGACGGTGGCGGCATGGCCTCCGTGAGAGCTCGTCGCTCGAGGGAGGTTCAGGGATCGTAGAAATGCTCTCCCTCGCGCACTAGGCAGATGCGGTGCTTAGATTTATCCATCGGGTGCGAAGATGGATAAGGATGACCTTTCCACGTAAGCAAGTCAACTGTTAGGACCAGTCAATGTATACCACATCAGCAAAATACGTTGGATACAATAACGGTGACCGTAGAGTGACACATTTATGCAATCTCAGTGACCGTATTCTGAGACTTCTTGAATACAGTGACCAAAGTGAACTCTAGGATCAAGTTCAGGTACCATAGATGTAATTTAAGTGTTAGGAATTAATTAATTAGGTTAATTAACTATTAATCACTGCTATGTCGGTGCCACTTTTGGCAACTTCCTCCTTTTGTAACCGCCTTGTAAACTGGGTATAAATACCCCAATCTTCAATCAATAGAATAACTGTTCATTCATATATCTGTTTTCCATTCGCTCCTCTCTCTCTCGATTCTCTCCAACACGTTATCACGCACGCCTCTTCCAGAGAGCAATTAGGCCAAGAACTCGACGGCTCCACCGTCCCTGACCCTCCCTCCGGCCCCAAGGACACGAGGACCCTCGGCCTCGACAGCGCTCCAGCGGCGCAGCACCAGCGCGCGATGCAGGCGGCTGAGGCACCCCATGGTTGACGACGCCCTCCTCTGTAGGCGCGTCGAAGCGGCGCCCTCCGGCGCTTCAATCCGCCACATGACTGCCAACGACAGCGGCGGCAAACGGCAAGGCCTCTCTATGGCCAGAGGAGGCCACTCCGGCGATCTGCAATTGCCGCAGACGATGACTGGAGAAGTCTGGAGAAGTTGGCTACTAGAGTTTCGGCCACCACGCGATTCACGGCGAAGACGAGATGTTCCTCGTACAAAAAGGAAAGAAACTAATCAGGGAGATTGATTGATTGATCTTGTCTTCTTGCAATCATCAATTAATAATCTAACAATGAATTGTTTTTCTCCTGTATGTATATGCGCTCACACGAATCTCACGAAGAATTGATCAATCGTGAACTACAAAGAAAGAAGAACCGATGGAAGAACGCAGCGCCAGCCTCCATCGATTCAAGAATTGGAAGCCTCGAACACACTCTGCCAAAGGACAGAAAATCAATCAATTGAGCGGATTTATCATACTCCAAGCAGGAACATCAGAACTTGAAATTGGGCACAATTTTCAATTACACAAGGAAGACGCACAGAAAAGGATATGGGCGTTGGCATCCAGGATCACTCGATCGAAAATCCATACCAATAACTGTAAGCATCCATGTGATTTCTTCAATTTGTGATGTTCTTACCTCTTAAATGAGATCGGCCGCGGATCAGCGGACTCGATTCCGGACGGAGGAAGGTCTAAGCGGCGGCCGCTCGTCCACTCTCCTCCTCCCTTTTCCCCCTGGATGCGATGGTTGAGGCCGCACCCGCAGCCTCCATCGGCACGGCCGTCTACAGCGGCGACAACCACATCCCGGCAGCAACGCTCCTCCCTCCGGAGGAGCACCACGGCCCGCCACGCAGCCCGGCAACAGAGACGGCCAACGCGCATGCGGAGCGCAGTTCTCTCCGCCACACCTTGGCACGGCGGCGGCCTTCGGCTCCGACGCCGCTTCTCCTGATGCGGCGCGATGGCGCGGCGGCCAACATTCGTCCCACGGCGTGGAGATGCTGCCCAGGCGCAGACGACCTTCGATTGGCGACGCCATCTTCCCTCCTAATTCCTCGCGAGGAGATGTGCTATGACTCTGTACAGCCAAAGCTAACTCAATCGATGGATTCTTGGCCGTAGCGAGAATCACCGGAGAACCTTATCTCTTCGGCCATTTAACAATTTGCATTTTTTATTGCCAAATAAGGACATCAGCTTTAGTACTACTTGCATAGAAGCCCTCAGGCTAATTGTGATCGTATCACTCAGACTCTCTGGTCTTCATATTGTGCATCATATTTTAAAAAATGAATTCTACATGTATTATGAGCATAGTAGTATTGTTCAAGTGTTCATACCTTGAATTTCCATTATATATTAGAGACGACATTGTGCCATATTATACATGTTTGCCTCAGCATTCATTGTAAATATTAGTTTTAGAACAACGTTTTTCTGTCTTTTGCAATTGGAATTAATTTTTCTTGCAAATCTTGACGAAATCCAAAATAAGGATTTTGAAGTGTCATACTTAAGATGACCACATCATATTTTATTTGTGAATTACAAGGTATTGATGGCATCTACTGCAGAATTTGCAGATTATCTATCACTACTGTGAGGTCTACATCTTGTTATTTTGATAAGATGACTACCTTCAAGTGCTCTTCCAAATATTAATGTGACTATTCCAAATTTAATTTGTGAATCACAAGGTATTGGTGGTATCTACTGCACTATTTGCAGATTATCAACCACTACTGTGAGGTCTACATCTTGTCATTTTAACAAGATTATTACCTTCAAAGTGCTCTTCCAAATATTAATATTATATGTGACTACCTCAAGATATCATAAGGTAATACTGGCATCTACTGCAAATTTTGCAGACTATCCATTATTACTGCAAGGTCTACATCATGTCACTTTGACAGATGACTACCTTCAAAGTGATTTCACACATTTTACATAACATAAGGTAATAGAATTATGAACATCTACTGACAAAAGTCAGACTATGTTTCCTATTACTGCGAGATCTACACCGCATCCGGTGACTATCTTCAAAGTGTTATTCTATATAAATGGAGGTCTACACATATGAGTGTATAGCATCAGCTATCATAAAAAAAAATTGCTCCTCTGAAGCAATTGTTGTTGTTCACTAAAAAAAGATATTTACTCTCATAATAAAAGGTATTCATGCATGAACACTACATTCTGAAACGGCAAATATTTTCCACAAATATCATTTATTCAAGCCTCATTTTGCTTTAATATGTCATAGACAACTATGCAAATATTTGCACATACCAGTAATTACCTTCTATTACATTGGTAAAATACATGGCAGTGGAGCCTATGTCACTATTTTAATTATAGTGTCGTCCATTCATTAAAATGGATACCACAATTTATAGAAATTGTTGAGTGTCTCAAACACTATTGATAGGTCCACATCAAATTGTGGTTATACTTTTATAGTGACTAACCAATGATAAACATGAAAAGTCTATGTGTTTTGGCAGTGACTCTGAAGTCACATATTTTCTCAAGAATGAAGTCCAAAACATTAGCAATGATTTCATCACATCTGTTGTATTGAAGGATACACCCAGGTTCACCATGGATCATCTTGGCCATGAGTATTTTCATGTAACACATGCCTGACATTTCCAAATGCACTAAATTCAAGATTAGGTGGGAGTATTTATTTTAAGATGATTCATGACATCAGTCATTGTGTCCACCCGTGGCCTATTGCCACTACAACTCCACCTTCTGCAATGGCTATTCTCTTGATAGCTAAGTATATACATGTTGCATTTTATATGTCATCAACTTCACTTAGTTCTCAAACTAAGTAATTATGGATGAATATTTATTCACTACAATTTTTCCCTTGAGAGAAACATGCTGCCATGAGCACAACACGATTGATCACCCATTTGATTTCAAAACATCAAGTCTATTGCATCTCACAATTCTGTCACTTTAATCAACTTTAAGTTGAGATCTCGTGATCAAATATTTTCCTATATACAGATCCAGTTGAAAAGCCCTTAATGCACTTTACATCCTCTTAAGATGGTACTACCTTTTTTTATGATCAAGAAACATGGAATTTCTTAAAATCATCAGATTCACCCAATGGGTGTTATACCATAATTTAAAATTCATGCTAGTATCGAGAATAGTATGCAAGTTAGTTGTCACAAAATAGAACTATGAGGAATTCGAAGTAAAGTGGAGGCTAATAGACAACCAAAGACGGAATTATCTCTTAATAAGAATCGGTCATTTTCAAGTGATCAAAAGACAACTCTCAAGTTTATCAGATGCATGGTTATGTAAATATTGTACCTATGATTACCAAACCCTCAAACATATGGTCGAACCACATCACAAATTTATTAAAAGGCAAATAAGTTCAATAGGATAAATTTGAAAATTTGCAAATAACAACCAGATTCTGGTAAAGAATTGTTCTCAGAATCTTCATCAGAAGGAGGACCAAAATCTAGTCCAGAAAATGGAGGATGAACTCATTTGCACTCAATAATATCGGAGACCTTAGGTAATCTCCTAATTATTCCCAAAAATAGCATTAACCTGTACTTGTACTACTACATGTAGTAGGATATTCAATATCCCATCACTTGGATACAATATTTAATATATTTGATAGCATGGTTAAATTCATACTTAGTGTTGTTGCGTACGAAATAATTTTCTAAATATTAATAAATTATATGTCTATTTTGATAGACTTATCCATCCTGGTTTGGGGATGATTAGAAAGTTATTGACAATTCTGTTGGTCACAACTTAACAAGTTGCAAAATATCCCAAATCATCAGATTTTATGCGCACTACATGTGCCATAGGGGAAATCAGTTTTAAGGCACTCTCACCTTAAAATTCTAAATGAGCCACTCAATCTTCCTTGAATACATTAAGAAGACATATGTGGATTAGTTAACCATTATGTGGAATTATTTAGATACTTCATGGTACTCATAGGAACATTTATAAAATGATTTCAAGTGTGTCTCTTATCACACACAAACATGCATGATCTTATTAAATAAATTGCTCAACTTATCAAAGTAGGAGCAAATTCTCCTGAAAACAGGATTGAAAAACCCATTCGAATGGACAATGTCATTGAAATCATTTCACAAGCAATGTCCGATTATATTTTTGTACTCTATGTACATACCCAGAATGGTTTAACTAAATTTCTTATCAAAGATAGTGAAATGAATTACATGACCAATCTTAAAGAATTGTAAATTTACCAGCCTCTTGCTGCACACATACGACCTTACACACCGTAAGTATGATCTAAATCATACCAACTGCATTTCATACTACTTTCCACTTGTAGTAACTACGTGGAAATCAACAAAGTATTTCCCATCTGCGATAATTCGGTTACATAACGATATCACCACTCCAGCATACATCAATGGGCACTCACAGAAAATTGGGGATCTATGTGAGGAATAATAATTTATCCGTCAATCAAAATTATTCATAGTCCGTACGCTGATTGCATCAGCAATAAGGATATTTTCGGCATTAGGGGGAGATAAGTACCACAAAGAATGCCGAAAAAATAAATTAGAAATGTTATTGACATTCAATCCTTATATCCACGTCTCAAAGAATCTGAACTAGAAGTTTAGAGAATTATATATTTGCAACACATTGCAAATCTGCCACATACATTTACTGATGACAAGGTGTTACTAAATTATATATTCCTGCAGTAAAGTGTCAGAAGAGTGGAGGTACCTGATAAACCACTCTTCTCCCCAAATGAGAGCAAGAGGGGGAGAAAATCTGACAATACGAGATATAACTTCTCATATGCTTCCGCCGAAACAGAGGAAATCACATCCTCAACTAGTAAATGTAATTCAACATCAAGTTGAAAGACACCTCACTGGATGCTCATCATCCAATGCCCGGCATAAATGTGCACAAATGTTTTGGTGCCGGGACATCGAAACACCTTGACTCCATTTGTTGTAGGAAATCACAAGGAGCTAAAAAGGAGTAAATATTTAATCCACAAACTTCAATGATTCCATCAGAATCATATAAACTAAAGACTACATTTGTCGACATATATTTCTTCTCAAATTGCTAAAACCTTTTGGGCCCAGAACCAAAATCCATGGTAGAGTTCCTCTTGCACTCATATTGGTTCACATAAAAAGGAAGCAAGTAATGAAGGATAGCACTCGCTCAACAAATGAGTGGTATTTACTGTAGCAATACCTACTCCTCATAAGTATCTTCCATATGGAATACTAAAAACTTCTCATTCATAGACAAAGTCAATGAGGTGGTGAGAAAGCGAGGCTTGTAGCAAAAGGGTTCACGCAGAGATCCGACATCGATCACGATGTGACATACCCTTCTGGTATTAGTGGAATTATGTTTCGATACTAAATATCATAGGCAGTACGAATAATACCATGCAGTTAATGGATGCAGTGACTACATACTCATATGGATCACTCATTTCGGATATCTATTTTAAAGTTCCTGAAGGGCTTAAAATTCCCAATCCAAAGATAAATCGTAGCATGTTTTGTGTAAAACTTCAAAGTCACTCTATGACTTGAAATAGTCGGAAATCATATGGTACTACCGACTAAATGAGTTCCTTCTTCAAAGGGATTACTCAAAGAATGATGATTACTTCTGTGTTAATAAGGAAATCCAAAATTTGTTTTCCTTATATCACTTAGTGTATATCGATGACTTCATCATCAATGTCTATACAAGACCTAAACATATACAAAATCATCTCAAGGCGGAAAATTTGGATTAAACCAAATTTAGCTTAAGTTTACAACTTGAGCATTCTCTCAAGAATACATATC